GCCTTTGTGGCGCCGTCGGCGGGAAGACTACGCAACTCCACCGTTTAGCTCCGTTTGCTCCGTTTTGGCGCAGTCGTTTCGCCCCATTTCAGTTGCGTTGCGTTCCTAACAGACAGCCCTACAAAATAAGAATGAAAACAACCTTCCTTTAAAGTGCAATCTCATTCAAAAATATGCAAAAGTGTAATCTCATTCAAAATATGCAAGAAGTGTAAAAGAGATTAAGCATCCAAAGACTTATCGAAAGGTGATAGGGCAAAATATCATTTCTTGCTCGTTTTTGCTCCAAATTGCACCGTTTTTGCATCTTTTTGCTCCAATGACCATAATCGTACCTACAATAAAACATCAAAAATACCCTTCTTTAAAGTGCAATATCATCAAAATCAGTATAAAATAGGTATGAAAATCTCAACATATTTTCCTTTGGTCAGCTGGCAACATGCATAATAGTGTGGGCTTGAGCGCTACATTCTATGGATCTCCATCATCAAATCAAGTATTTAAGTGTTGTGGCACTGGTTCTAGTGGCATGACATCACTGATACTGAGTGTTGTAGTGCTTGAATCATGGCATCCTCTTTCCATGCATTCTCTCTATCCTTTTTCACTGGAATTGGCTTTTGTGAATGTTGAGGTGCTAAGTCTGGGTGTCGCAGTGACACCCACTCGAGCGTTGAGGCACTTACTTCTAGTGCCTACTTTTTGTGCTCTTAAAATTAGGGGGCTAAAACTCTCCTTTGTGGGTGTTGTAGCACTTTATGATGGTGTCATGGAGCTAGCTTGCATACTTAGCTCATTTGGTGCTCCAAGTACCCCTATTCTTTCCTGTGTACTATACTTAACACTACATGCCCAGAAAAGCATAAAAAAAGCACAAAAAATATAAAAAATATATGAGACACAAATTCACATTTTATCTATATCATAGGTCACAATGGTGCTAGTGTGCTAAGGATTAAAGGTGAATAACACAAAAGGTTTCAATGAGTAAATGTACTAATAATAGTGAAATATTGCATCCAATTTAGTCGTGAAAAAATAATTTTCATGTACATTTCAAATCAAAGCTTATGAGAAACACATAACTAGGAAATCATTAGATAAGATGTGCACATGCATGGTGCTTGAGAAACATACATGAGTGTGGTGAGAGTATTTGAAGTGCAAGTAGTAATGTGATGGGGCATGTTGCGATCCGTTTAGTTATTTTAACAAATGGATGGAGAGGATCACTGAAATCTCTTAAATAGGAGAGGTGAAATCATAATGAAAATTATATGTGGGCACTAAGATATGTGAGCAATGAGAGGATGTGATTTTATAACATGAGAAGATTGTGGTATATTGGAAGGTATTTTTAAGCTCTAATTCAAATTTGATACAATGTATAATAACAAGAATTAAAGGGGAATAAGTTCAAAATGAAGAGAACCAAGGATGAAGATGAAGAAAACTTGAAATCCATTAAAAAGAGTGAACAAATAACAATGAATATTTAAGGCTTGGACTTGGAGGAACTCGGTTCATTCAATAAATCAAAATTATTCAAAAAATCTAACTATTGTTGCTCTTATATATGAGATTGTGTTTATGAATAGTCATGAATATTGAGGATTTCCTTATCAGGATTTAACAAATAATCCACAAATATTAATCTTTTTAATGAATGCCCAATTGTGTTTGTGCATTCACTTTTAGCTTCATCTTTTTTATAGAACTTGTATATTAGCTTTTTTATTTGGCATGCAAACCATGTATATTGATGTTCCTACTATTTTATTATAAAGACCATCTATTATTAGAGTGCTTATTGAAGTGGACATTACCTATAAATTTTATTATTCTATTAAGATTGTCTTAAGGAAATGTGGTTACAAAAGTTTAATGATGTCTGAATATCCCAAAGTTCTACACTCATTTTCAAATGTTTGGTTACAAAGTTTTCTTATAATGTAAATAAATAAATAAAAAAGCTTCATTGTAATGTATATTGCTATAGATATTCCCTCTTCAACATTAGTGATTCATTCCAAAAAAAAATTTATAGTTTCTGTGTCTTATAATTTGTCTTCTCTATCTTTGTCATTAAGCCAATCTCCTCTAGCAAGAATTTATTAATCTTCAATTTGTGTAATAGATCTAAGATGATTCACATGTTATCAAACAATATCAAATCAACTTTCTGTCCAATTAAAAATGATATTCATGTAACCCATATTTTATTAGGGCCGCATTGGTGCTGGTGGCAAGAGTGGGAGGATAGCCATTGTTAGTCTCTCATTTTATTATTTTTGGACCTCTTAATTTATGGTTTTTTTTTTTAATCTTTTCATGTTAATTATGAAAAACATTATTTTCTTAAAAAGTGGAATAAATACTTTTTAAATGCATGAATAAGGCTTAGATATTAGATGTGCAAATAGATGAGAACTCACTGGTGTCCATGTAAACCTTCCATTAATTTATTGATGGAACAGTATGATGCACAGTCCACTCATTTTAATTATATATTCCAAGCTTCGAACTTGCAGCCATACATGCATTCATACTGTTTATCCAGCTAAGCAGGACATTAAGCAACATCGGCTAATAATATAAGCATATAGATCCTTGCATCATACAAAATTTTTTTATGAATCAAATTTATTCTTAGTTCATTGACACCTCATACATATTATCCTGTTATTTTCAGATATATCCTTACATCAATCAAATTCTCTAATTCTGAAAAAAAAATCAAATAATTTTACTACTTAGATAAAAAAATTATTAAATAAAATAATTGGATGCGATAATTAATCAAAATAATACTATCATCTAAAAAGTATTGCTTTCTATGAAAGAACCAGCCCAAAAAGAGAATCTAATCATCACTCCATCCCCACATATCTATCTTTTAACTTTGAAAATAGTAAAATTGCTCCATTATGGTGTAAACTCAGTACAAAGCGTGTCTACTTTAGCAAACAGAAAGAAGTTCATATAATAAAAAGTCTAGTACAGAGAAGTAACATAAACCACAAAAGCATTGAAACCAATCTCTTTCTCACAGAATCTAGTTAATTACCAATCCATGGCTAGCTTCTTATCAGCCTCACACGAGGAAGAACTCATGCAGCTTCCTCCCTCCACCAACTCCACCATTGCTGCCATCCTCATTCTCTCTATAACCAGTAGCTTGCGTGAATGAATTCATCATCTGAAGAAAATGGTTGGAAGCTGTTGATCCGTTCACAAAAGCTTTCTCTATTGGAGAAGAAGGTAAGACAAGGTCGCCATTGTTGTGTCCGGCCATCTGAGAGTGGATGGGCGATGGCCGGCTCATCGTTGAGCCCATCTGAGCTGCCTTCTGGAGGAGAGCAGTTGCAGATATATGAGGCTGTGGGAGAGGATAAGAAGGAGGAAGAGATTGGTGGCTGTCATGAATGAAATGATTTTGTTCAAGAACGGGGGAGTAGATTGATGAGGTGGTGGTGGTAGAAAGCCATGATGGAATGTGATGCTGTTGTTGTTCTGTTTTGAGGGTGAGATCTTGAAGGGTGTGGTTGTTGTTGATGTTAGGGTTGCAGGTGTTAGTTTGATAGGTTTCGTTGGCTATGGTTCTGATGAGATGAGGGAAATGGGTTTGGAGTGGGAGAGAGGAGGGATCGAAGGATGGGGGTGGAGGTGGGTGGAAGAGAAGAGGGTTTGTTAGTGGATTCAATGTTGAGATATTTCTTGCGCTTTCTTCTGCTAATGCGTCGCAGAAGGCTCTGTGTGTGATAAAGCTATCCCTCCTGCAAATAAATTTATGGTGCCTGTTTAGGGTTTCTGAAACTGTAACTTTTTTCCTCACATGTATACTTTTTAGATTTCAACAGATATTTTATAATGTCAAAATATATAATGATATTAAAAATTACAACTTTAAATTAGTAGGAGCTGAACAGAATTTTGTGGAAGTACCGAGGAAGTCAGACCAGGTGAAAAGCTGCCTGCCATTATGATGATAGGAAAATAATTTGTTCAAGGTAAATCGAACAAAATTGTTCAGATCTTAAATAATTTATGAGACTAACTTCATAAAATGACTAATTTATGAATTGGAACTTGACCATCTGATTCCTATCTAAATTTTTTTTCAAGTCTTGGTCTCGAGTTGTTACTTCTTCATTTAATTCTTATTTTTTGAAAAAAATTAACAGTTTTTTAATTATTGTTTACTGAATTGTTAGCTCTTTATATGTTTATTGATAAATTTGTGCTTCTTCTAATAATTAAATATATAATACTATTTTATTTTTATCTAAAAAGTTATGTAAAGAAAAATAAGTATTGAACTTCAAAATCCTTAAACTATCTTCTGAATATTGAAAAGCTATTAACCTAATCAATCTTGTGTTACTTTACATTTCTATGTGATTAAGATTATATATATATATTACGATTCTAAAGCTTTTAGGGTTCAAAAAATGTGACTATATATAAATAATTAAAGCTATAATATGAAATCTATGAAAAACAAACTAATTATTGTTGGATCGAAGAAGCAGTACCTTGAGAAGAGTGTACCACAATCGCATCGATACTCCCTCGTTCCACAGATCTTGGAATGAGCCTTCCAATCAGACTGAACCGCATACTTCTTGGAACACTTCTCACACTTCCACTTCTTCTCTCCATGCTTCCTGCTGTTCTTAATACCTGTAAGGTCTCCCAGCGCACGAGTGGGATCATGGTGGACGCACGTGACCTCAGGGCAGATATACACCTTCTTTCTCACCTCCTTGTTGCTCCTCTGCTTCAGTTTCCACGGCAAGTTATGGCCACGCCTGTGAAGCTGTAGGTTCTGATCTCTCTGAAACCCTTTGTTGCAGATCTCACACACGAACCGGTTGGTTGCCATGAGAGTCTTGGGTGAAAGAGCTATCACCTCGGCTTCAGGATCTATTGTATGGAAACATTTTTCATGATTAATGAATATTAATATGTTTGTTTCAGTACATGAGGTAAGAAATAATATGAACTGATCATGATAAGCATGAGTTAAGTATACTTGTAATTTGTTAGAGATTTTTTTGTTGATTTCTATGGGTAATTAATTCATGTCATCTCAAATTTGAAAAGAAATCAAATTTAATTATGTTAATTTTTATCTGATCAGAGATTTTATAATTAAAAGCTTTGATACTCTTAAACTTATTATAAATCTGCTTACTTAGTATTAGAATTAGGTTTTAGAAGAGACAAAAGTGTTTACCCTAAAAATAGAGAAAAAATAAACTTTTAAAATATATTTTGATTTAAAAAAAAAATTTTTGAAGTGAAATGAAGTTTTTTTTTTTTTTTTTAATTAAAGAAGGCAAGAGACACACTCAATAAACTTTCAGTTTCATCACTATTTTAATTATTCTTTGTACTTAATTTTTATTATCTTAGCTGAGTAAGATTATTCCTAATTAAGATTAACATAATATTAAAAATCAAGGTTTAAGAATTAAAACTAATACTAATATTAACTTCACACATGAATGACATGTGGGCTACACTTCAAGCAATCTCCTGCTAGATGGGAGCAAATTTTTAGGTCAGTGCAGCCCAAGTCTTCCCTTTGTGTGTGTGTGTGTGTGTGTGTGTGTGTGTGAGGATAATTAAATTAGTATTTTTTTCATACTATATAAATTATCATACCATATTTTATTAAATTTAGTATACTAAATAATACATAATTAAATACTAATCATATGTGTAAAAATTTAAGAATACTCTAGTAAAAAATATATATATATTCTTGATAAGATGATGAGACCTGGATTTCCGGGAAGGTTGCGCTTCTTCTTTGCTGCTTGTTGATTCATCGGACTAGGGTTTGAAGAGAAGCTTGCATCTCCGGATGCAGATGTAAGATTTGACATGTTTTCTTCCATTAGCTGCTGATGCAGAGGGACTGTAAATCCATTCATCTTTATTTCTCTTTCAGAACTTTAAAAGAGAGATTGAAATAGATCTAGAGAAAGAGAGAAAGAGCTCAAGTTGTAGTGAAGAGATTTATATGTATGAACTCCAAAGATAAGAAGAGAAAACACCTATCTAGAGAACTTTTCTGATAAAACTGTGTTTATGTAAGAAAGGATTCTGATTTTTTTTCTTTTGTCTTGTTGATGGGTAAAAATGCAAAATGAAAATAGTTGCTTGGATATTCAAATCTATTGAGCAATCTTATAAGAAAAAAGAGAAGTGTGAGGAGCAAAAGCTTTGATCTTTGTGCTTTCTGCCAGAGAATCTACAGATTCTCCTCCTGCATATCAGAAGATATGAAAAACTGTGTATAGGAATTAACTCAAACAAACTAAAATTCTCCCAAAAATATTACAGTTGAAAAGAGGAAGAAGAAAAAAAAATGAAAAGCTACTTAGAAACTAAGATGAAGAGATCAGCAATGGAGGTGGGGAAGAAGAGAAAGAAAACAAATGGATGTGACCTTGAGAGAGGAGAGAGAGAGAGAGACAGAGAAGAGGGGAGAGGGGAGAGAAGGGAGTGGGTATTAAGACGAGAGAAGAGAGGAAGCATGTTATCTTGTACCGATTCAATACCCAGTACGCGCAGCTTACAGGCCAACACTGATGTTGCGTTTTCTGTCTTTACCTTTGTTACCTGCGCAAATCTAGAAATTCGGCTCTTTTATTTCTTTTTTTATTCTCTTATTTCACTGTAGCCCCCTCGGTCTTATCATCTAAGGTGAATCAGTACTGCAGCAAGTCTTGCACATAGAGTTGGATTTTGTGATACATCTAAGTGCTTGTTGTTGTCATGTTCATGCATGGCTTCTATTTAATGAAAAAAAAAGTAATTTTGTGAGTGTTGTTGATCAGGAGAAATTTTCCAAGTGTTGGTTTTAATACTGTAATGGATTTGTTAGCTTGTAGACTTGATAAAGTTAAAACTGAAAAATGGAGTTTTAAGTAATTAGTAGTTCATGTTTTTTTTTTTTGTTTTAAGTTTGTTTTAAGTTTGAGATTATGGGAGATAGTTTTACTATGCTCAAACATTATTTTGTTAGGAAAGAATTTTGAAGTATTGTTTGTTAACTCTTGTGAAAGTTTATCCCTTTCATAGAATAGGGCTCAAGCCTTTGTTTAATAGATTATATATGAAGATTTACTATTTTCCTTTTATATAAAGAAAAAAATTATTTAAGAAAATTAATAATGGTTTAATGTTACATATATCTGATATGCCATCAAATTCAAGTTATCAAGTAAGGATTTTCATGTAATTTTTAGTTTGTAAAAGATGCAAATAATTGAGTAGGCTTTTTAAGGAATTGATTTGAAGATCAACAAAATTTATAATTGTGATAGCATACTTTGACAATTTGAAGCTAATTAGTTCAAAAAAATGTCTGAATTGGTTTGCAAAATGAGCTTAAATGAAGTGATTAGAGGAATAATTAACATATCTGTTTATGCTTTTTGAGAGTTAAACATTCTTCATATATATTTGTAAGTTTATGGACAAAATAAGCATCTTAATATAATAAATTTTATTAATTGAAGATAATTTTCTGTTTAATACAATATTGAAATTGATGCAAAAAATAATTAAAGGGGATTCATTATGACTATTTTATGCAGCAACCAGAGTTTTAGTGGACATGACAAAAATGCTCCCTCCAAAATTTAATTAATTATAGAAATGTTATGTTCATATACATTTGGGGAAAACTTTAGTGGAGAAAATTCATAGACTTAAAGAATTTCATAGATTTGATCATCATTTGTGGTTTTAACCTCTCATCATGGGTCATAATTTGATCAATATTTAATGAAGTTCTCCTAACAACTCCTAATGGGCAACCTTTTTATTTTTAAGGTTGGTGCACTTTCACTTCTGATATTTCATTTTGAGAAGTGGCCAAAATTTTATAAATGATTTATGTTGACATGAAAATTGGAGAATTGCAAACATCCAAATATAAAATAAAATAAGAATTGTTTATAATTAAAGAAGAAAGACTAATTATGTTTCAATAACTTAAAAAAATATTTTCATTAGATCAGAAAAGGAAATTAATACATCCCTATAAAAAAAACCAAACATCCACATATTCATGACCATTGGAAATCTCTCTCACTGGCTCACTCTCTTTGCAATATCCAATAAATATGGGAAAGAATTCTCAAATGCTTGGCTCTTGGACAATCACCCAATATTGAACCCAATCTTGTAATAGACTTGATTATTGAGAAAAAATAAAACTTAACAAAGGCAGCCTTCAACCTCCACCATAAAACTTGCACTCCTTTAACAATAGTGTCAAAATTAAGTACAAATTATTAGATAAAAACATATATTCAATCAAAAGCCTTAAAGCTAGTTTTTTACCTCTAAAATGGATGAGATATCATCTATCTCAATCATTCAAAAAAAGACCATGCAGCCTTTCATCATATATTTTTTCATATTTCTATTTTTTAAAAAATAAAAAAAAATTTAATGCCAATATATATATACATATATATATATATATATATACTATTTATGGATTTCACTATGAAAAAGTTTTTATTAAAATTATAGACCAGTAATAGCTTCAATTTTTATTAAAAATAAAATTAGAAAAATATATTTAAACTCTTATCGTCATCTTTGAATCACCCAAATGATGAAGAGTTGCCACATCAACATATATGTCCCTCTCATTAGATGCCAAGTTCAAGGATCATCATGTTTTTTCTTGAAAAGACCACAAATCCTTCAAATAAGCAGAAATATTTTATTGCATAAGGAAATCTATTTATAAGACACCTAAAATAGAGACTTGGTATTTTGGGAAAATAAACCCAATAATGTTGAAAAGTTCTAGATCATAGTTTAAACTTGTTTAAAAGAAATACACAAAACTTCATTAGAAACTTCTTAAAGGATATTTAAGTGCCTCACATCCTCAAACTTTTGTTCATATAGTCAAAACATTATCCTTACATGAAGAATTTATCTAGTTTAAATCACACAATTTTGGATTTATGAAGATATTAAGATGTTTATAAAAAAATAAATAAATTATTAAGAAGAAAAATTTTGATGAACCAATGAAGTATTTCAAATTTTGTCTATAATTATCATATTTTCCTCTAAAAAATTTTTAAATAAGACTTGCTCTTATATATTTAGAGAAAGTACATTAATAAGTAAATTTCTAAAAATTAGGTAAAATTATTTCAATTGATGAAATCTTAAATAGTCATTATTGATATTCTAACTATAATTGTTTATAATCCCACAGCTTCAACAGTATCAATAGATGATGAGGCATTAATACGTTTTTCCTCATTGCCTATTTATTCTTCTACAACTAGCTACTAGTGCACTAATCAATAATCTGAAAAATAAATACTCTCTTCATGACCTAAATACCTGACCCATTATTTATTTAGTCTGAAGATGTGACATTAAGCCTAATTTCATTAAAATTTAGATTTTATAAGGATTAATTAAAAGCAATTTCACTATTGGAGGAATAATTTCTAATAATTTACATCCTTGAAATTCATATTTACATTAAGGAGAAGATTAGAAGTCACTCTTTATGAATTGTCTCCAACCCCAACAAATTATCTTTGTTCTATAGCTTAAGATTATCACACTCGTCGTTGCTCAACCATTTTCAAGTTAAATATATAGAAATATTAAACCAGATGAATTTGCCAAAGTACTTTTATTTTATTTCAATTAATCTTGAAGAAAATTAAAAAAACAAATCTGAATTTTTTTTATTTCACATGACCCTTAATTTTATATTTTGAGAGCTTTTGCCCATCAAAATGAAAAATTGATAATTGCCACTTTCTTTATTTATGTAGTCCTTTTATTTATTCATTTATACTATTTTAATTAATTTTTTTGGCTTATATTTTGATTTTTTATTTTGAGGTTAAGGTTCTCCTTTCTATTGAACGATGCCTATTTTGATAGAAGGTTTGTAGAAAATAACTCTTCTACCAATGAGGAAGTGAACATTTTATAATTTTTATTGATGAAATTGTATATCTTTATATAAAAAAACATATTATTACTTTTTTTTAGTTTGTTAATATTCTTCCTAAGCCAGGAGATACAATGATGATAACCTTCAAATACCTAACTTCTAATAATGCCATCTACTTTTATTAATCATTAGTTGATGTACAAAATTACTATTACTTGATGTTGTGTCATGTGTGGCAATTTTTCTTAATGCTAATGTCCACTTTCATCCAACATCAGGTGATAATAATGTTTTTATTGACCATCATCCATATTGACTAACTCTAATATCTAATGTCACATTTTTGTCATTGTATATTAAAACTCCATGGTAATTATGTAACTGCCATAAATTTCTTGAATCGATTGTGTGCCATCCTAATTGAAGGATGTTTGATTCCCTCATTTTTAGTTTGGTGGTCTCCCTTCCTATCAAAAGAATGGCAAAGCCAACCGGCTACCACTGCTTAACTTTTTGTTATCATTTGAGAATAATTTGATGTTTAACATTGATTAATTATGGATATTTATTAGTCACAAGTCAATTTTACAAGCCACACATGCTACCATTCTATTGGTAGAGCATCTACGTTGATATTTATCTTTGCCTAACTTCTAATATTCCATTGTCTATCATTAAAAGGCTAAACCAATATTGAATTGTATATAAAATTCACTAGCTATCAACATCAATGACAAATCTCCCCATTGCCTAGCCTTCCCTCTCATTAAGTTATTGAATAAGCCGACCACCTACATTTCATGAATGCAAACATTCATTGTCAAACATCGTTTCACACATTTTCCTTACTCAGAACTCTTATACCTTGAAACTTTTCCTTGTATCACCTAATTCAGTATCTTTTATTTTTCATTTATATTATATTGCATTAAAAATATTTGCACTGATTCAGTGGGGTGGTGTCTTTCCTTTATAATCCTTAATGCACACAAATGAAATTATAGAGTAAGTTTGACTTCAGTCTCTATATGTTGCTCTTAACTTATATGTGTGTGTATAAAATTTTCATGCTAAAAAATCCTTTTCTCCCCCTCTACTGCAATGAATATTTACAAAACGCTTGCAAAATTATATGAAAACTATGATATATATCAGCCTCATATAATACCATATTACATTCATGTCATATACGGAGTGTTGCACAATCTATATATGAAAAAAAGAATCTCATTATGTAAGTGTCATAAGCACTTTCGTACAAACACATGAACATGAACCCTGCAAATGTTAAACATTTTTTCAATTTCGGGTAAAAAAAATAAAAATAAAAAAAACTATTTTGCTGGATTGAAAAATGGTTCCTTCTTGATTTACTATTTATTTATTTTTGTCTCCCTCTTGATTTCACTGGAACCAATGCTCTCCTTATTTGCTACCATGTACTTTCTGAATAGCAAGATTAATGCTAGCTAGGCTTTCTCCCTTCCTAAAGCTATCCAGGTTATGTCAGGCTTTATATGTAAAATATTCCCACCTTTTCTCGGAGAAAATGTTACATAGTTTCAACATATATATACGTCGAACGATGCAGATATTATAGTTCGTGATTTTTTTCCTCCTCCGTGCATCTCGGCAGTGGTGGACATACGTGCATGTAGATGCA